GAGTGACTTCAATATTTTCCATCCATAGTTGCTAGAACTGGAAGCCAGCATCTCCTTTGGGAGCTGTGTGGTCTCCCTGGATCTGCACATCTGTGACCCCCAGGAAAAGGGAGAATCAGACCAAAAGCAGAAAGGAAAATCTGCATCCATAAATACCTGAATGAAGACTGGAAGAAATGCTGATGGTGTGAAGCACCTCGAGATGCAGCCACACCTGGAGCACACAAACAGGTCCAAAGCACAGGGCTGGGTTTGGATTAGGATTTCCTTGGCACCCTGATGTTATTAATGGGCAGCTCATCACAGGTCCTTCCTAGGATGAAATCCTACTGGTGATGAGCAAAAGGTCCAGGCAGCCCTCGTGGTCTGTAACAACTCTGGGACTGGGAATGATTCCCCATCCCTGGAAGTGTCCAAGGCCAGGCTGGACAGGGCTTGGAGCAGCCTGGGACAGTGGAAGGTGTCCCTGCCCATGGCAGGGGTGGAATGAGAGGAGCTTTAAGGTCCCTTCCAACCCAAACCATTCTGAGGTTTTATGTCCCTGCTCATTGCTGGGGGGTTGGAATACAAGCCCTTTAAAGGTCCCTTCCATTCCAAAGTTCTGGGAGAACACAAGGGATCAGTGGGATCCTGCTGTTCTTGTGTAAAACATGGAATCAAGGCATGAGCAGGAGGCAGTGGATGAAAAATGCTGATTGTATGGAAAACAGCACAGGGCTCCAAGCTGGGGCAAGTGCTGGCTGGACCACTCAGAACCAAAGTCCCAGCACTTTTTTCTTTTTCCATCTGCTGGGTGGAATAAATTACTCACAGCTGGTCCAGCAGAGCCAGAGCTCCCCATGGAACCTTCAGACCTCCTTGAGCTCTGCTAAGGTGCAAGAGATGGAATTTTTATTTCACTGATTGTGTCTTAATGCGTACTCTGCAGTCCACTAAGGAGCAAGTTTGAGGCACTTCCTTAGGAAGCCAGGTGCAAATAAGGTATTGAAAGTCCTATTTTATATTTTCAGACTTTGATGCAGGATCCATGAAGTGGATGAGCATTGTCTGGGACATTTCTAATGCTCCCTGTCATTACCACTCCTGCCTAGAACACAGCATGGACTTTGTGGCTTCCTCTCCATTATATTATACAGGAATCCACCTCTGGTTTGAGGTGAAGTGATGGATCTGCAGGAGGCCAGACTCTAGACCAGAGAAGAGTTTTGTGCCATACCACAGGACAGGGACTGAGGTGTCAGACACCTCTTCTGGCTCTGCCCAAGTCTCTTCATCTCTGTGTGCTCAAAACCTTTATCAATAAGGGGTCAGTGATATCTCCTCTTACCTGTGTTAGTCCTGTGATTTCAGACACAGCCTCCACAGCAGAGGATCTTCAGACTTCCTTTCATGCCATGAAACCCCAGGATAAAGAGAACAAAGCCTCTGTTGATGCCAAGATTTCCAAGCCATCCCAGCCTGACTGTGTTCATCATTTTGTGATGGGTGAGGAGTTTTCCAGAGGTGTCCAAGCACTGCAGCAGGGAAGGGCCCAGTCTTCCTTTGCTGGCTCTGCAGCAAAGCCTCTGTGCTCCTCCCAGAATAGCAACGTGCAAACCTCGGTGCTTCTCTTCCAAACCCATCTGCATTTTTAGAAAATCATTTGCAAAGCCTCTGCCCCTGTGGCTACAAGCAAAGCCTGGCTGTCTGTGCAGCCTCCTCAGCCACGCCATCTCTGGGGCAGCAGCTTTGCTCAGTGTGATGCTGTAATTTGGGCTGGATTTACAGCTGGGAGAAGAAATCCCTGCCTGAAGACTCTTAGGATCCTAAAGCCAACAGGGAAAGGGTTGGAGATGGGATCAGTGTAGCCACAGGTCTCTGGGGGGAGCTCCTGACACATGGCAGAGCCTGAGACCCCATTTTCCAGCACACCTGACCCCACCCTCTCACCTGTGCTCAGCAAAAACATCCTTCCAGAGCATCCAGTGGCTCTCACCACCACCACAGCAACCACTGGAGCACAGGAAGCTGGCAAACCCCACTGAGATCTCCTCATTTCCTATATCCATAAGCCACACAGACAGTACTTTTTAGGTATCCAAAGCCACAGCCTTCCTAGGAAAGGCCCAGAGAAGTCTCATGGTGGTGAGCTGCAGATCATCTCCCATCCAGCTCACACGTCTGGGAATGCTGGTCCAGGGGCACAGCTGCCAGAAGGACACCAGATGGTGGGAAGTGGCTGCACACCCACCTTCAACCTGCTCCCCCTTTCATTCACAGCTTGGACTGAATAAGGGGGGATTAAACTGATATGCCTTATCTCAGACCTCCCAGGGATCCCTGAACGGGCCAACACAAACACAGCTCTCGCTCTGAAATAAGTCACATTGCAAAGAGTAAGTTCCACAGTCAGAGGGATGATGGCATGATACATTTCTCATATTTTTAAGCAAAGATAAGCACTGGGTGCCTGAGACTAAGCCTCACTCCAGATCTGCCCTGTTCAAACCAAACCAGTGCCTCTATGGCACAGAGCACTTGTCAAACAGACAGGATCAGTGACCACGTTAATTCCAGCATGGGATTAAACCCCATAACTGCTGCAAGAAATGCACAAAACAATGGCCAGAAACACTGTGAGGAATTCCAGGATCCCTCCACACTGATGCTTCACTCCCAGCTTCCCAAAAGCAACCACGCTCCTCCTTGCCAGGATGGTGAAGAGAGCTCAGGTCAGCAGCATTGAAACGCAGCACAAATTGAAGTGGTGGGGGAAAAACACCAGTGACTGTCAGATGGGAACTAGAAAGGGACTAATTCTGATTTCACTTCAGTTTTGGTGTGTTTTCCTATTTTTAAATGCTTTAGCAGCTTGAGCATTTCGCTAAGTGCCTCTCCAATCACACAAGGTTGTGCAGCAGTTTGCCCCCCATGTGTGACAAGGACACACACAAGGAGGGGAACCCTCAGCCCCGTGTTCTGTGTAAAATGCAGAAGTTCAGCAGTGATGAATAAATTCCTTAATGCATCCATGAGTATTTTGTACCCGAGATCACATTTACTGTCAGCAGGTTTACAGCCACACAGTTTAGATTCTGATCAATTTTACATAATTAAGATATATTTTTTTAAACAGTTAACTTTTCTCCTACACTTTCTGAGCAGAACACCCCATGTAGGATCTCAGCAGCCCAGGCAAAGGAAAATCTCCCAAAGGCCACAGGACAAGAGCACCTACAGAAAAGCAAAGTGCCTGTGCCTCCACAGGGTCAAAGCTTTGATTTCATCATTGAAACGCAATGCAAAAAGAAGCACCAAAATAAACAGCTCCATAAAGCAGCAGGAACGCAGCAAAGCAGTTGGAAGCTCCTCCAGCAAGAATGACCTAAATCCAAGAGGCATTTGTGCAGATGCTGCCCAGCTCCACAACACCCTCACAGCCTCCAGGACACACAGACCAACAGGGGAGCGAACCTGGGAGAAGCCTCTTTCTTTTTAGTAAAGTCACAGTGATTTTCTTTAATTTTTTTTTTTTTTTTCCCAAATGTGCCCTCCCACAGTGGCTGCCCCACATCCAGAGCTGCCTGGGGGCCCGGAGACCCCTTTTCCCACCCGACCCCGCAGCAGCCGGGGTTATCGAGGGAGATGTGTGTAATTGCCCTGTCAGGCAGCTGAAAGGCGCTCGCCTTTAGCTGATGCCACTTCAAAATGAAATTCTTTCTTTGGCATGGCTATGTCTGATATGCAGGCATCAAAGGGGAGGCAGCAGGTCGCCGATGCCCCAGGCCACACATTTCCCTTCTAAAGGCAGGAATGAGAGTGTCAGCTCGGGGCCGAGGGGGCCCTGGAGACCCAACACCCATCGCTCCTCCTTGGGGTGCTGGGAGCCTGAGACACCCCCCAGCACCCAGAGACACCCGAGGGCTCTGCAGCAGCAGATGGGACCCCATGGCCTGAACACCGCTGGGATGGAGCGGTGGGAAAGCCTCAGTGGCACAGAGGAGGTCGAGGGCTGGGGAATTTTTCTTTCCAAGAGAAGCACAGGGCCACGCTCTCCTCCCCCCCGCAGCTCCCATCTCCTCTCTCCACCTGCACTCTTCAGGGAGCCAAAGCTTTTGGCAAGCTTTCCGCTCCAGTTTTTATTGGTTTCGACTAAGCTGCCCCTTTCGGAGGGTTGGAAAGCTTCAATCATTAAAGGAAAAGAAGAAAGGGAAAAAACAAAAAGGAAAAGAAAGCATCATGCACCCTTTACCCTGCTGTCCCTTCCCCAGCTCCCACGATGGTCCCACACCACCCATCCCAGGCACAGCTCCCTATTTTCCAAGGCAAACACAGCCCCTCCAATGCATTTGAGGCAGGGTTTTCAAGGCTCTGGATACCTCCAACTGTACCTGCTCGCCTCCAATCACCTTCCTGCTCGGAAGCAATTTAGAAAGGACACAGCACAGGTAGCTATTAGCTAACACATATTTAACTGCTCCAGATATCTTTTTTTTTTTTTTTTTGGCATTGTAATGGAGTGATTTGATCTTCAAAGGACCTGTGGAAACCTTTGAAGCTTCCCAATCTCCAGTGGGGAGGGGAGGAGGGGGGAAAATGTTAATAGTTTTAAAACCTGGGGAATCCTGAAGTCAGAGGAAGGGTATAAAACCCAGCGGGTTTAGCATAAAGCCCTCAGGTAAATCTTCACCTTCTTTTCAAATGCATTTTTGGTGGGTTGCTTTGGAAAGGCTCAGGCCAGGTTAGCAAGGTCGGCTCTATTCCCAGCGGCTCTTAAATCTCCAGGGACCCTCATCTCCCACGTGGCGCAGCCCCAGCACCAGGAGATCCGCGGTACCTCGGCGAAAAATAGAAAGACTAAAATTTGCAAAGCCTTTAAGTGAAATGGGGGGGGGGGGGGGGGGTTAGGAGTGGAGAAGGAGGGAGAGGGGTAAGAAGATAAGGAGACAAAATAAACTCCCAGCTGCACTCCCAGCCAGCACAGCCTCAGCAGCACCCTGAGAGGCGAGACACAAAATGCGTTTACCTTTAAAATAATGACTCATTTTATTTTTTTCTTTTAATATGTAGTTATAAATATATTTTGTCAAAATATATGATCATTATTGTCAAAAACATTTGCACATAAAGTCATAAATAAGGTCAAGGTGAACGTTTAGTTTAGAGAAGAGTCCAGCTATAGCAAGCAGTTCTGGGGTGGGACGGGAGGGAGAGAGAAGGGGAGGAGAGGGCAGCGGGGAAGGGGGTCAGCGGCACCCGCACCCCTCCACCACCATCTCCTGGTAGTTTTTCAGGACCACCTTGTCATACTCATCCAGGTAGAGCATGGAGATGGCGCTGAGCTCCGTGGGCACGCAGCAGGCCTTGGGAATGCTGGAGTTCACGGAGTTCACCAGCGTCTGCACGATGGCGTGGTTCGTGGAGTTGAGGTGGTCGGCCAGAGGGAAGGGGCAGTCCCCGTGGCAGTAAAACGCCTGGTAGCCCGGGGGTGCCACGATCCAGTCGTTCCAGCCCACGTCGCTGAAATCCACATAGAGGGCATGGCGGCGGCAGTTTTTTTTGTTCTTGCGGGAACGCTGGTGCTTGGGGCTCCGGCGGGCTCGGCGGGTCAGCGCATGGCCTCGCCCGTCGTGCCCAAAAGTGACCAGGAGCGGCCTGAGCTGCGCCCAGTCCCCACGCCCTTGAGGTAAAGATCGGCTAATCCTGACGTGTTTGCCCTGATGAGTCTGTGCGTGGTGGAGGTGGGTGACCTCGATCACCAGCCCGTGGTTCGGCTGCTTGTCCTTGGTCCACCGGATCACGGCCGGGCTCACATCAAAGGTCTCCCAGCGCGTCACGTTGTGGTGCACCAGCCGCGTGTCCAGCAGGCGCGTAATGGCCTGGGCGCGCTCCGACAGCGGCTTCATCACTTCGTAAATGTTTATCCGGTGGAAGCCCCTCTCCCACGCCGCGCTCGGCTCCTCCACCTGCTCCCGGTACAGCCGCAGCTCCGCCGAGGAGATCACCTCGTTTTCCGGCACGCTGCTGAGGTTGAAGACGAAGCGGATCCGGGGAGCCTCGCTGGGACCCGGGACGGTCTCCAGGTGCTCTGGAGGAGAACAGGGATGGGGGGAAAGAGGTAAGATAAGCAAACAAGAGCCCCGGCACAGCCACGGCTCACACCCACGCTTCACCTGCCCGGCAGCCGCCGGCTCCTCTCCGCTCCCCCGCGCATCCCTCCGGCCGCACCGGGAGCGGCTCCTGCCCCGGCTCCGCTGCCTCAGCCGCGCCTCGAGCACTCCACCCCTTCCCATCTCGCCTCCCCGTTCAGGGAGACTTTTTCCCTTTAGCTTTTCCTCCCCCGGTCTCTCCAAAATCATCTCCCCGGCGAGATGCGGCGCCACGGAGCACAGAGGTGCCTTGTTACGGGGGCAGGGGGAGAAAGAGAAGCAAATTCCAACGCAGTAATGATGCGGCTGGATTAATAATTCAGATTTACTTTGGAAAAGAAACATCCGCTAGGAAACATTTGGATCAGATTACAAGAGTCTATTGAATAAACCTTATAAACACACAGCTGTAAGTATTAAATTCGAGTCGGGGTTTGGGGGGATTTTTTTTCTTTTCTTTTTTTTTTTTTTCTTAAGAGTAAAAGCAGGCAGCAATTGCTTTGATAGTTCAAAAGAAACACTCCAGGGGCGAGATCCCGCCCTCGCTTTACTCCCGCATCCGATCCAGAGCCATTAAATCCACGCGAGCCCAGGCAGTGACCCCGAGGCAGAGGCACCGAAGGAAACTCACTGTTGTCAACAGAAGCAAAAGCACTTCAAAATATGGTCAAGCTCGGGTTAAGCACAGGATGCTGGAAAAAGTAGCGAGCAGCACGCCTGTCACCCACACACGGCAGGCTGGGGGGGGTGGTTTTCCTCCCATAAATTTAGGGCCGGGCACGTCCTGCTTCTAAAGGCATTTGTGAACTTCCAAAGGCAAGGAAATCCCGATCGCTACCGGGGCTGGGAATTTACCGCCTCCCATCACTGACCTTCATGGTGGAAACTCCTCACGGTGTTTGCCCGGCTGGTCGATCGCTCAGGGTACTGCAGGCTAATTTCCTGGAGGCTTTCCTCCTCTTCTCCGGACTGGAGTCGATAGAGATCCAGCATGTAACTAGGAATGACGGCTGACTTGCTGGGCTGAGGCCGCCTTCGGAGCCCAAACATCTGCAGCAGAGTTGTTTCGAAACCCCGCAAGAGTTCATGGCTTTGGGCAGAGCGGCGTCCGGATCCGGCTTGTCCCTGAAGCTCTGCCACTTTCTTCCTGCCGGTCTCAGGGATTAGGCTAGCATGGTTAGTACCTCCTAGAAGGACTTGGCATAGTAGGATGACCATCAGCATTCGGTTACCAGGAATCATGGTGTCTCTGGGGTGTAAAAAATACGACAACAAACAAGAAGGAAAGTCAGGATGAGAAGCGAAACCCCCCTACTCTTCCGAATAAACTTAAAAATAATAATAATAGTAGTAGTAATAATAGCAATAAATGGCAAAAGGACGCGGGGAGCAGCCCCCATTGGAGCGGCAGCCGGCGCGCCCCGGCGGGCAGGGGCCGGCCGCCGTGCCCGGGCTGTCCGCAGCCCCGCAGCCCCCTCGGGCAGGCGGGTTCCCGGCGCATCCCGGCCCCGCTGCCCCGCCGGGACCGGACGGGACGGGACGGGAGCGGCGGCGGCGCCCGGTGGGGAAGGAAGGGGCGCGCGGCTCGGCGCGCTCTGCAGCCGCCGGTTCGAATCCCGCCGCCGGACCCCGGGAGGGGACACCGGTATAAGAACAACAAAAAGTTTTTACTAAAAAAATTAATTAAAAAAAAATTTGAAAAAAAAAAATAAAGAAAGCCCAGCGATGAAAACAAAAAGCGAGGCGGAGGAAGAAGAGGGCTGTACTCACTGACAGCAAGCAAGGCATATCAGCACAGTCCATGATTCTGGAGAGCCAGCCCGGACCCAGCGCGCCGAAAGCCCCGGGGCAGCGGCTGCCGAGCGCCTCCCGCGATCGCCGCCCGGCGCAGTGCGGCCGCCGCCGCCGCCGGCCCCGGTTTTCTGCCGGCCCCGCAGTCACGTGGAGCCGCGCTCGCCGCCAGCCCGGCCCGGCCCGGCCCGGCCCGCCGCCCCCGGCCCGCCCCCGGCCCGGCCCGGCCCCGCGGGGGACGGCCCTGCCCGCTCCGCCGCCCGCGCCCGGGCAGCGGGGGGAGCGCGGGGACCCCCGGCGGAGCGGCCGCGCTCGGAGCCGCGGGGCGCGGTCGCAGCGGTGCCCCGGGATCCCCCGCGCCGCTCAGGTGCATCCCCGGGGACCCTCCCGCCCCGCCCTGTCCCCGCACGGCCGGGGCGGGGTCCCCGGGGAGGTCGGGGCACCGCGGGGAGCGGGATCCGCGGTGCTCCCCGTGGGACCGGGCTGGGCAGGGAGACTCGGGACGGGAAACTCGGGAAACTCTGGTTGACTGTTCCCCGACGAGAAGGGAGGGAGAGCTTGGGAACCAGAAGCAGTTGCGCGGGGAGAGGCACGGTGGCAGAGCGCGGGTTTCTCCTGTGCCCCCACCACCCGCCAGCCCCGAGGGTCCCGTCCCGGCGGCTGGGAGCTCGTTGCCAGCACCAGGGGTTATCCCCAGTGCCTTCCCTGGATTCCCTCTCGTCCTCCAGATTTTCTCATCCTTCTCCCTGGCTGCCTGAATAGCCCCAGGCGGGTTCCCGGACCCCCACCGAGGTGTGCAGCAGGAGCCTTCCCGGGCCCGCACAAACTGGCGGCCCCAGAGAGATACGGACAGGAGTCTCCGGGAGGAAGGATGCTCATTGCCCCACAGTTCAACCCCAGAATTGCTCTGGACCAGCTTTGGGCTGAGAATGAAAACCAGACTTCCCAAGGCTTGAGGCTGCTCCCAGGAGGGGATTTGGGACAAACTGGTTTACCATTAGCACACATGAACTGGACTCAACACATTCAGGCACAGGGTGGGATTATTGGGGCTTTCCTGTGCAGGGCCAGGATTTGGACTCGGTGATCCTTGTAGATCCCTTCCAGCTCAGGATATTCTGTGATTCTCTGACCTACTGGGGGTGATGTATGAACACAACATGGAGAAGGCAACCCTGGGGGAAAACCCTCTGAAGGAAGTGTGACAGATGCACCATCCTTTGGAGACACAGTAGACTGAGCAACCCCATGGTAAATCAAGGCAGCTCCACCAGGACATTAAAATCTGTCCCTTTGCCCTGCTAGGGCATCCCTTTGTGTTGGGCAAACTGTCACCCACAGTGAGAACACAGTTAATTTATGAGACCAAAAGATGTGGTCATGGAGTGGCCATGGGAACTCCTAAGCTCATCAATTAACCACAACCAAAAACCAGCTCAGAAACGATGACTGTGGCCACAAACCACGGGGCTGCTGTGCCTGAGTGCAGCAAACCCACACCAGAGCCTTGGTGTCCTCCCAGCACTGCCCCAGAGCTCACACACCATCACAGACGCCTTCTTTTCATATTTCACTTTTTTTTTTTTAAGCTCAGACCTGACCCATGCATTAGAAAAGCCCAGGGATGTCACCGAAAGGACACGTACAGATAAAAGGCAGTGCTGACACTGTAATATCTCTGAGTTATTCCTATACCACTCTGGGTTTAAAAGAAACATCTGTTAGCAAGGTATTTGGACTATGAATCCATCAAAATTTGTGAAATATTGCTATCACCATTTCAAATGTATCACACTGTGTGTTATTCTTAACAAGGAAAAACAATTTTGGGAGTAGCTGCTGTGCAACTTTTTTTAAGTTAAATAACATTTTCATTGAAAATACTCCAGTCTATAAACAAAGTTTACATGAGGGCCTGTATAGAGCTGTTCCTAAAACAGACCTCTGGACTGGGAAAAGCAACCAGCTCCCTCTTAGTGGGATATGTTCCTGTCTTTGTCTGAAGACCTCACTCGGGTTTTGTAAGGATCAGAGAATGGCCTTGCTGGAGATGTTTGTCCCGGAGGAATTTGGTCACACGGCATCCAGCGCCTGCTCTCCTCAGCCATCCTGTTAAGCTGAGATCCCAAAAATTGCTTATGTAATGCTGGTTAACCATGCCCCTGTGTGAGGAGGTGGCCAGCTGGGCCAGAGAGCCAGGGCAGAGCAGTGTGCTTTGGGGTCTCGTAGGAGGCAAGAGCGTATTTGAGTAGCTCCCTGGTTACTAAGAAGTGTTAGTCATGGGGAAAGCTGTAGTATTTATTCCGTAAAATGTAAATACATAACCCAAACCACAAAGGAATAACCATGGATGGAAATAGTGTAGCGTTTACTGAAGGAGCTGGGCTGCCTTTCTACAGAAGCTGTATTTCCTTGGCCCCATAGAGCATAATTCACCTTGAACGGAGCTTCTGCTCCAGCCCGTGGAGTTACACATCGGCTGAACTCGGTCCAGGCACACTAAACAACCCAGTGTGTTATATATTCCAACCAAAAAAGCGATGCCAAAACAGAGCTAAAAATACAAATGTAGAAGGTTTGAAAAGCAAACACTGCTTAATTCAGTGGTAGATGCAACATTAAAGATCCAGCACACCAAAACCAGAGAATATCGTGTCTGCACTCAGCGCAAGGCTCAGCTCCCCTCATCACACCTCACATGGGTGATGGGGGATCGATGGTGGTCTTGCCTGTGACTCAGTCCCAGTCTGACTAAGGGATCTGCTGCCAGGTTTTTTTCCTCTCTGTCTTCTGTGAGAAACCTGGGAATCTCTGCACCTGGGTGGCAAAACCATTGGTCTCTTCTGGAAGCAAAGCTTTGGGGTGTTGGGGACGTCACCCTGCAAAGGCTGCCCAGACCAAGGGGTGATCCATCACGTGCAGACCCTGGCTGTGACAGCAGGCTGCTGGTGGCAGTGAGAAGCCCAGGAGCTGGCAGATGTCCTGGAGCCCGAGAGCCCAGCTCTGCTCACAGGGGTCAGGAGCTGAGGGGCAATTATTTGCTCAGTTTTGTTTCAGCCTGGTAATTGTGGGTTTGCCCAGACATGCTTGTGATAAAATCCCAGCCACTCACATCTGACCCATTTCCAGGTTTTGTGTGCTCAGGACCTACCAGCAAGCACTGCAGGTCGATGTTCAGCACCTCTAGAAATTAGGCCAGCTCTGTTTACAAGGGAAACTTCTCCTCTGCTGGCAGCATTTCAGGAGATGCCTCTGGACTCAGACCTTCCCAAACCAGTTCTTGGATCCTGTGTTATTTTTAGAGCAGCTGCACCTTTTTGGGCTCTAAAGTCTGCAAACAACCTGCCTTGGGAAAAACAAAAAAGAAAGAACAACAACAACAACAACAACAAAAATAACTTGCCTCACCAGATTTGTGCTTGAGCAGAAGCAAGCCTAAAATCATAAATAAATAAGTAAATGCTATGTAAGAGACATTTTAATGACACGAGTTACAGGAGGAGATGCCCATAAGTGTGCTAAGATCAATTCCCTCCTGCCCTTTCCTTTCAACTGCCTAAGCTTGTCAATTAAAACAAAGGGAACTGAGCAAACAACTCCAAGGGATTACGTTTTCAAAAGTAGCTCTTCATTAAAGAGCCAACCGGTAAAAACAAGTGCAGCTGCTTGAATGGCAAAAGGAACATTTTTTACAACCACTCTGAGAGTTTCATGGTTTCTCTGAGTGCTTCAGAGCTGGCCTGTTCTACCAGAATATTCTACGTCCTCCTGAAGAAATAAATTCATACTTCTCCTATAGCACAGAACTGGGCCCAACTTGGAATTTATTTCTTCTTTACATTAAAGTGTCTCTGCTGAGGTGTCAGGACCACGTCTAGAACCTCTCCTGAGCTAAGAGGAGAATCAGGTTCAGCACTGCTCTTTTATTTCAAACAGTTGGGGTTTTTTTTATAAATCCCTAGAAAAACATTGTGTGGGAACATTAAAATAATGCAGTTCTAAAAAGGCAGTCTTTGGTAATCAGACACAAGGCAGTCGAAACAGTAGGATTGTCTGCTCTTTTCTATTTTTAAGTCTTGAAGGATGATTTTTATTGTTTTGAGAATGCTATTAAAAGGTTTGCTGTCCCACGCAGGGTGAATCTTAAGTTGCTGTTACTTGACTCATTCCCTTTGTCACTTTTCAGAGATGCCCAAGAGTGAGCAAGGCTAGAAAAGTTACCCCTTGCTGTTCATACTCTCTGCCTTCTGCTGTGAGAGTGTGAGGTCTCTGCTGCTAAATATTGTTCATTTAAAGATGCTGGGCCTCAAAACTCGGAGGTCTGGATCTTTTAGGCTGGACTGCAGGAAGAATTTCTTCACAGAATGGGCTGCCCAGGGAGGGAATGAAATCAGCATCCCTGGAGGTGTTCAAAAAACAGCTCAGTGCTCTGGTCTGCTTGGGAAGGTGGTGAATGGCCAAAGGTTGGACCCAATAACCTTGGAGGTTTTTTCCAACCTTAATGTTTCTATGATTCCATGATTAGGGAAGTGCTTCAGCAACACAACTCATAAAATAAAGGGAGAGCCATTTTAATGGCCTGTTGTTAAAATTCCCCTGAGCTGTGTTAGAAACACATCTGTTGTAAAATCATCTCCACATCAATGGGTTTCCTCGAGGGATGTTACAAGAAGAACACGCACTGATCTCATCCAGCTTTTGGAATCGCTGCCTTTAGCCCACGTTTGCTTCTGCACTTTGTTGCTCTCCACTCCATCAAAGCCCTCATCCCTTGAGAAGCAAGGAAGACCTCCAGAAGATGAAGAGCTCGTTCCTCCTGCTCTGCAGTTGTGGCTGGTACTAGCAAAGACCATCATTCTCCTAACAAGCACTCTCCAACCACGTGGCTACCAGAGATAAGCAGATTCCTTTTGGATCTGGTGAAGGCTTTTGGAGAACAGCTCAGGGCTGGCAGCTCCCTGACCTTACAAACCACTCTGTGTGTCTCCAGCCCTGAGATGTGGCTTTGTCCGAGTTCTGCTGTTACTGATATTTCACTCTCCCTTGCTGCCAAAATCTGCAATTCCACACAACCAGGTCGCACCTCCGGGGTGCTGACATTTGTCTTTGTCCTTTAATTGCAGCTTGAGATCTGCTGCCAGCAGAAGCTTTAATGGCCTTAATCACTACTACAAGGTGTAAATAAGCAGAGGAGGACAGCTGCTGCAGAAATAATTCACATGAGCTCTACTGGATTTTTAGCAATAGCAAAGAACTTTACTGGTAGGTGCTGTAGCAAGTTCTGGGAAATGTCAGCACATGGATGAATTTTGAGTTCATTTATGTGAACATCCTCACCTGAAAGCACAGAGGGAGGATCCTGCCCAGGAGTCCCTCTTGGGAAACATGGCTATGCCCTGTGGCCTCCATCTCCAGCAATAACAAACTGGTGGGGCTCGTTTGTACCAGTTGCCTGGTGACAAGGTTCATACTCACAATTAATCATCATTCTTAGAAAGTGCTCACTGAATAAACTTACACAGGGTGTGTGTGAGCAGAGCACGGGCTCCCACAGCCACGTGAAAGATGGTTTCTGACAGAAAGGCTCCTGCTCCTCTGTCATGGAACATCCTGAGGTGGAAGGGACTCACAAGGATCATTGGGTCCAACTCCTGGCCCTGCACAGACACCCCAACAATCCCACCCTGTGCCTGGAAGTGTTGTCCAAATACTCCTGGAGTCCTGGCAGCCTTGGGGCTGTGCCCATTCCCTGGGGCACCCTCTGGGGGAAGAGCCTTTCCCTGATATTCAACCTAAACCTGACACAGCTGCATGGCAAGGCCCTCTGTTCTATCACTGATCAAGCAAGCTAATGAGTGAGGTGTTAGCTGGGTTTATTTTCAGTTAGAGACATTCTTACTTACTTTTACCTGTTCTGCTTCTTTGCGGGACAGCAAAAAAACCACTTGTAAGCAGAATCAAAGCCCACTTTCTCTCCCAAACAGCCACGACCAAAAAATACTTGAGTGGGGGCACAGTTTGTGTCAACAGTAGTGAAACCTGATTTCATTTTTGGCTCTTTTCTGCATAAGCAAGTATCTGTTTTCCTCTTCCCTGCTTCCATCATGTACAGACACTGACTCAGCAGCCCAAGGGATGCCTTTAGCAACCTGGGAGTTTCAAAGGCCATAGATTTGGTGCAGAGCTGCAAGTACTAGGATGCCTAAAGGAAAGTTGTCCTAGTGATGAAGGACCTGATTTGGACTTCAGAAGGTCTAGGTTCAGCTTTGTGCTTCTGTGGCAGTGACTGAATCATCAGGAATCTACTTTATCCAAGTGGTTAAGAGTATATTAAACAGTGAAGAGTAATTAAAAAACATGGGGAAAGGAGGCAATTAGAATCAGAAGCAGGTCAGAGCCTCCTTTCTGGAAGAACAAGAGCCTTTTGCACCATTGTCAGACATAAATAAAAAAATAAACATTACTTCTGAATAGGTCCTGAAATTCCAACCCAACGCACAAAAGTCTTTCAAACCCTTTCAGTGGGACTCCAAACCCTGGGAAAATACTGGAGGAATAACAGGACATGGAGACTTTGTATGATCTCTGATTTACAGCACGTGGAACAAAAGTGGTGCTGCTCTGTCCATCGCTGGAGAGACAGATGGTGATTCCCTTGTCACCCATGGCAGAAGAAGAGGAGGAAGAAGAAGGATGAGAAGAAAAAGAAGAAGGAGGAGAAGAATAGGAGGAAGAAGGGAAGAAGAAGCAAAACTGACTATGCCTGGAAATGAGAGATTAAACACATTGTAGTCAGAGGTGGGTTTCCAGCATTTTCCAGAAATACTCATCAGGGCTTTACATTACTGGCTGGCAGCCACAAGGGCTGTGAACTGAAGGGAGGCCAATTTCTTGACCTGCAGGTTTCAATGCAAAGACAGTCTGTCCTCTCCCTTTCTGATACCTTATCCAAACGATGTGGGCAAACCAGCGTCGTACGTGCGTTCCGTGCGTGTCCAATCCCACAGGCAAACCAGCCTCTCTATTTCCTAAAATACCAGTCACCAAACAGCCTACAGAGGGATAAAACTGAGGAACTGGCCAAAAAAAAAAAAAAAAAAAAAAAAAAGAGGGACTTTTAGAAAAGGAATATCTAAAAGTCAGTTTGAAGAGGGGAAAAGTGAAATGGCAAAAAAGGAATGAGTCTGGAGGAATCTCGTATCTCTTTCTTGCATATGAAGGGGCCTTGGAAGTGAGGGGGTGCTCACCTGCACAGAGCCCCACCTGGGCTGAGGGTTTACAGAGCCAGAGCCCAGAGGATCAGCAAGAAGACAGAACAGGAGAGAAAACTGATATGGGAAAGAAGTGAAAACCAAGAAGGCAAATTCAGTCTGGGCAAAGGGCCAAGGCAAGGCCAAGTGGAATTCTAGAAAACAGGACTGGAGCCAGAGGCACCAAGGTGTTATGACAAGCCTGCACTGGTCTACAGTGACAGCCCAGAATGATGCACCTTCCAGGAGCTCAGCATCACCCAGACATGAAGAGAAATAGGCTTAAAAGTAGATTTTTGAGCCTAAGTCTCAGCATGGAGGGTCTGGACCAGCAGTTTCTCCTTGTGCAGGATCTGGAGCTAGCATAAGGCTGGTATCTCCCTATACCAGCCCTCTGGGCACACTGGAGTTACTCTTTGAGTCAGGGAAAGCAGAACTAAGTTAGAACAGTTTCCCTGAGGACCTGTTTGTTCCCCTGGTTTCACCCTGCATTCCTGCTTGTTCCACCTCTGTCCTGCTGACTCTGCTGCCTTTTCCCACCCTCTGTACACATACCTGATAGAGCAGCAAGCCTCAGAACCAGGTATTGTATGCAGCACCACACCCCAGTTCAAAGAAATATTGCAAAAAGCAAATGTGAAACGTCATTTGTAAAACTGGCATCAGCTCACAAATGTTCCTCACAAAGACCCAACATTGAGGTTACTCCATGGCTGCCAAAAAGTCATCTGTCCTGTCTCCAGAGGCCTCAGCAAATCACTTTATCTCCCATCAGTGTTTCCCTACAAAACTCTAGCTGCAAAGTGGGGCAGGAATCCTGATGCCCATCCCCACCAGCCCAGGCTGAGGAGAAGCTGAGTGGTGTTGGGGCTTCAGGGATTGCAGAATAAAAATAAAGTGGATTAAGGCAGATGTTTGAAGAGCAGAGGATAAAATTAGAAGGTCAAAGAGGACTAAGAGTCCACGAGTATTGACTTGAGTCAGGAATTGTGGAGACAATCCATAGACCCAAAGCACAAAATAACAAGGTGGGATTGACTAAATCTCTCTGAGTGGTGCCACAAGGACAGCTTGGACTTGCAAATCTGTTCTGTGATTTGTTTCCCTCTCTTGGGACCACTGGCTGCCCCCAGAACAGCCACCATTCATTTTTCACAGGTTCTCCAACTGATAAGCCACCAGGAGCCCAGGATGAGCCCACCACAGAAGGTGCCTTGACATGGATGGCATACCTGGATCACTTCCATCGTGTTTTCTGATGGAGGAGAGGGACTGGAAGCAGATTCCTGAATGAATCCATGGGGCTGAGAATGGCTATGACCTGGGGGCTTAGCAAGAGTCACCAGACTTTGGAGACCCAAGTACTGTACCTATGCTTGCAGGATGTGCACAGCTCCAGTGTCTCTGAGTAACTCCCAATCCCCTCTCAGCCCTTTCCAGAATGCAGGGAATTTACCTCACCCAGCATCACCCCTTCCCTTTCCACACAGCATCACCCTTGCCCTGCTGGGCAAAATCTCCTTTCACACAAACCAGCAAAACTCAAAGTCCAGTCTGAAAAAAACAAAAATTCTCAAATCCAAAATGATTTGAGAGTACAAAAGGAATTTTTAAAACAAAAACTAAAGGCTGGGCTCTGTTCTGTTGCTGGAGGCACGTAAATGCTCTGTTCATACATTTCAAACTCTTCCCAGCAACAGAGCTCCCAAAGCACTTTGTGTCTGTGGGGTGAGCAGCTCCATGTCTCCCATGGCAGAGGGCACACACAGTGATCTGGCTCACGTTACTGAGCAGGATCAGATGATAGATGAAGATCCATGATGCTGAGCAGCAGCTCACAGGTCAAAGTCTTTCCCTTCTGTCTGAAAATCCTCCTGCACCTTTCTTTTCCAAAGTAGAAACCCTCCATTCTCCAAAGGCTTTTGTTGCACCCAAGCTTTGTGTACTTACACATCCCGGCTAGAGCAAGATTTCAGCACAAGAGAATTGCTACAGTATGTTACAGCTCACATAATTTTTTTTGCTATAATAAAATCTTTTGTAAAACTGTTCATTCTACTGCCCCATGAGAGATGAATTGTAAATCCAGCCAAAAAAAAAAAAAAAAAAAGTACCTCACATCCCTGGATCTTAGGAAATGTACATTTGTCACCTTTCAGTCTCTTTGTACGCTGTTAAGATTTTCTCCCTGTAATTTTATGCTGCTCACCTAATGACCTAAGTGGTCCCAGGAGAGAGAAATTGGCATCCTCTAAATAAAAGAAATAAAAATAAGAATTTTTCTAAAAGGTGAAAAAAGGTGTTTATTTGCAATTTACCTTACCTGACTTGTTTTAAGTGTTACCAGAATGCAAGCACCTACTTTCTTCTCTTCATTTTCACAAGATATCCAAGATTTGCTTGAATTGAGAATGTCTAAAGCCTCAGGCATGATCCTGGGTGTTCTCAAGACTTAAATGTCACTGCTTAAAGAGTTAAAGATCTAGATGGCTGCACTAAGAGGATGATAAACTAATCACTCATTCACTGCTGGTGAGCCTGGTGTCATTTACTGAAACATGGAATGCATTTAACAATGTAAGAGAAACTCCATGCAGTGCAAAAGCCAAAGATTATTGTTAGATTGTCAGGGTTTACTTTGGAGAAAGTCCTCAGTCTAATTACCTGTGTTTAAGCAACAGAAGTATTTTTGCCCTCGTTGAAGAAGTTCACATTTTCCTTTCTAGCCAATGGGTGGTTTGGGTTTTTTTTTAATGCTACTAAGGATTGCAGATTCTGTTCAGGGGGCTACAAATATTGAAGACAGGGACTAGGTAGAAGAAATCATTCTTCCAGAGAGCAAGTAAAACATGTTTCCTATCATTATAACAATGAGAAAAGTAGAAATAATAATTAGACTACTAGTACTGAACATTCACCTATTGATTTGTGTCTTCCAGTTCTGTGAAATGGTTGGAAAGAAAAGGACAGCTCTCAGCAGACAGCAAAAATGCATATTTAACAGCCACACTCTTTTTTAGTGTTACTGGAAAAAAAATGCTTCAAATCCTTTTCACTGCAATCTCTGAGCCTCGAGGAGGAGAAAGAGCAGGCCCAACATTTTGGTGTTGCATTTTTGCACCAGAATTTGGTGAATATTGGCAGTTTTTCTTAAAACAAAATCTCAGTTAAAGATCAAGATACCAAACATGAATAAAATATCAAAAGGATTTTGTGGGGCTCACCCAGTGGGCATCCAAACTGCAAATATCACTTTATTCTCTTTTACTAAATTAAACTTTGAACAGTACAATTCCCTTGTGCAAGCAGTTGGTACAAGACCCTTTCCCAGTGGTTGCCACCAGAAGTTTTTTGTTGATGGGACAGCAAGGCCTGGGGTGACAGAGCCAAATGAAGGTGTGACCATAACTCATCCTGGTGGATCAGTGTCACTTTGACCCAGCAAAGACAGGCAAAAACAGGCAGTGCAGTGACATCAGCACGTCCTGGCAGCCAAACCACCCTCCTGAGACTCTGGCTGGGTGCTCTGATGTGGCCATGGCACATCCCTGCACACCAGTGTCAGTCTGACCTGGCAAACACAGGTAATGACAGCAGAGGAAGCAACAGCAGCTCAGCAAGGGTTAACTGCTTACCCGTTCTGCAGAGACTCGAGGTGGGCACTCTGCTCCCCAGCCTGGACAAAGCTTGTCCCATGGCTCTGCTGCTGTGACCCAAATGACTTCTGAGGAGGAGAAGGAGGAGGCACAAACACCTTCTAATGACACCTGCCTTCATAACAAGCCTGGCAAGACAGCACATGATCATTTTCCCTGCTGGGTGATGGCTGGTGGCTCAGGCAGTTCTGCTGACCTTGGTTAGGGCAGTCTCTCAAGAAGTAAGCAAAGCTCCAGCCTCAACCAAAGGACAAAAATCCAGCTGTATGGGTGGAAATTCAACTGATCAAACAGAGACGTCTTCAGCATCATCCTGAAAAGAACATCAAAAATAGATCAGACTGTTCTCAAGCAGTGGCTATTTCCCTGCACGCCTAAAAGGAGAATCCAAATGAGTAAGTCAGGTGTTGCTATGCACACTGCAGAGATCTAAAGGCAGCAAAGAGAAATGCTATTCAAAGGAACCTGCTCTTCCTGTTGTGTAAACCTCTCCCTCTACAAAGATGCAACATTTTCCCTAGGAACTGTGTGACAACACTTGCCTCACTGCACTGCATGAAAGGCAGAGCAAACACTTTGAGATCAGTGGGACCAAGACATGTTTTTTTTACAAGGGCATGGAGTGACAGGACAAGGGGGAATGGCTTTAAACTGACAGAAGGCAGGGTCAGATTAGAGATTAGTAAGAAATTCTTCCCTGTGAGGGTGGGGAGGCGCAGAGAAGCCGTGGCTGCCCCATCCCTGGAGGTGTTCCAGGCTAGGTTGGACAGAGCTTGAAGCCACCTGGGATAGTGGAAAGTGTCCCTGTCCATGGCAGGGGGGTAGAACAAGATGGTCTTTAATGTCTCTTCCAACCCAAAACATTCTAGGATTCTATAATAAGAACTGGAGAACTTTTGAAATACACTCACAGCTCCACAGACCACAATTGCTACTGGAGCACAAAGTGTTTCTATTTCATCTATATGTGCATGATTTTAGGACTTGAAAAACTGCTGCCCTTGTACTTCTCAGCAGCTAATAAAAACCCTTGTTAGCAACATCTGGATACAAGATAAGGGAACCTTGCAGGGGAACGAGGCATTCAACAGGTTTCTGCAGTGGGTTCTTCATTGATCCTCTGAGGACTCTGCTCCAAAGTCCGCTGAGGTGTTGGGGTGTTTTTCCATTGACTTCACTGGGCTCCAAACCAAGA